ACTCTTGATTCATTACGTTTTATGTTGTACAGTACACAAAAGGTATTTCACAGCATTTATGTTGGCTTGTATTCATTTATACAAATACTATGGTTCACTGTTAATGTATAGAATTTTTTATGTCAAAAATATATTGATGCTAACATATAAATCCTTACGGTAATATTTGTATGAATGTGAGGTTTGTACTGGCATGGCCATATCTGTAAGGTGTTGGGGTGTGATATTCTGCTCTAACAGTGTGTGTGTTCTTCATGTGGAGTTACAGCCACATGTGTAAAGAGTGTGTGAGCCCTGCTGAGTCACACGTCCGGGGTGGACAGGTGTGGGGTCTCTTTTGAGATGACTATTGCAGGACCTGTGCTGCAGAACACCAGGAAAAACAAAACTTTTACAACACACACCACTGAAAGTGTCTTCTTAAGGGTGCTGTAGGGTGTGCACTGACCTATTGGTTAACTGGATAACTACTTATGAACTTGCACTACCATTACAAAATTTGAGGTTGGTCAGATTTTTTAAATCTCTTTGAAAGAAGACATTTTTGAAAGTCTCATACGCTCACCAAGGCTGCATTTGTTTGATTAAAAATACAGTAAAATATTGTGGTATATTATTAGAACTTAACTATTTTCTATTTCAATATATTTTAAAATTTAACATATTCCTTTAATGACAAAACTGAATTTTCAGCAGGCATTATCCCAGTCTTCAATGTCACATGATCCTTCAGAAATCATTCTAATATGCTGATTTGCTGCTCAAGTAATGTTTCTTATTATCAATGTTGAAAATAGCTGTGCTGCTTAATAATTCTGTGGAAACTGACGCATTTTTTTCATAATTCTTTAATGGATAGAAAGTATACTAATCTTTTGTAACATTTTAAATGTCTTTATTGTCACTTTTGGTCAATTTAATACATCTTTGCTGAATAAAAGCATTGATTTCTTAAAAAAAAAAAAAAAACATACTGACTCCAGACATTTGAACGTAGTATTTTTTTTGGAAGATATGGACACCTTTTTTAATGTAGGTATGTAAACATGTATATATGCAGTGTATATCTGACCCCCAATAAGGTCACAGCACTGCACCCAGGAAAAGTGCTGACTCGCTGCTGACTAAATCCTGCCAAGACCCCCTATCAACATCCCACACCTTATCTACAGTGGGCAGAAGTGCTACCAACAGCTGGTTCTGAGAGAAAGAAACAGCCGACCAAACAAGTCACATCAAGGGTTTACTGGGCCTCCAACATTGAAAGGCAGTACAACACTGCAAGAGACCTATAAAATATAATTTCTGGTTGAAGAGTTGCACTGAATTGGCTAATATATGTAAGGGATGGTGTAAAGTCAACCTGTCATTATTACACAATACGTCTCAGATTAAGGAGTATTTCTTGATAATGACTGTCTCACTGTACATTATAGCACTTCTTATCATTTAAGTAGACATGAAATATTGATTTGAGTTCAAATTATTCTTTTTATTTGAGAAGTAAGAGAGTGAAAAGTAGAGAGACATGACAGAAACACTGTCAGTTATATTTGAACACTGGATGCCACAACTGTCCAATCAAAACAGCTATTTGATCAAATAAAAATCATACTATGCACTATACCATTTATAATTTTGGGGTCAGTAGACTAAAGAAATGAATACTTTTATTCTGCAAAGGCACATTTAATTCAAATCAAACAATTAAAATCAAATGTGACAGTAAAGACATTTATAATGTTAGAAAATATTTCTAATTCAAATGTTGTCGTTTTAAACTTTCTATAAGAATTTTGAAAAAAATATATATCATGGTTTACACAAAAATATTAAGCAACATATGAATATTACATTATTAATATAATACTTAGTACTTTTTGAAGGTTTTTTACCATTAAGTTAAAAGTCTCTTTCAAACATTTCCATGTCAGTTGTACAGATTTCTGTACAGTTGATAGAAAAACTGACACTCAAGAAACTCTTTAAACTCTGAAACTGTGCATCCTGTTCACTGATTTCACTGATCCAACACAGATGACAACCGCCCACTTTTCGCTACGGAAGAATCGCACAAAAGAAATGTGTTTTATCTGTGCTCAAGCGAGATCCACGGACCCCTGAATGTGCACGTGGAGAACCTGGTCTGCGCCTCTCACTACTCACCAAACAGCACCACAACCTAAACACACACGCACACTTAACATTTAACATATTGTCTGAAGGGCCAAGACAAGCCGCTTGTTGCTTGCCTTCTGTCTGTGTGCGCAGGGCGCTAAACAATGGCTGTCTTTTAAATGAGGCAGACAACTGAAAGAAAAAAGACGTTGTCCCTCCAGCCTGCTTTTCTCACCTTTTATCTGCTCAGCCCTTGTACTTTTTCTTTTTTCCTTTCTCTTTCATGTAGGACTTAATGCTCCTTTCATTCCCTCAAATTCTTTACATCTTAACTGCTGGCCGCAGTTGAATTTCTAGTACTTTTTTGACTTTTTATGAAAAGTGGAAATTTGCTTTTATGAAACTGTGGTGTAGGAGCCAAAATGAAATATTTTATTAAAATGTTAATATATAGGTATGTGGTAACACTTTATTTTAGGGTCTCTTAACTTATTAGCATGCATATTACTAGAATATTAGCCATTTATTAGTACTAATTAAGCACATATTATTCTACATCCCTAATCCTACCCAATACCTAAACTTAACAACTACCTTACTAACTATTAATAAGCAGCAAATTAGGAATTTATTGAGGGAAAAGTCGTAGTTAATAGTGAATAAGTGTTCCCTATTCTAAAGTGTTACCAGGTATATTAATGTTAATATATATACATAAGTATACATACATGTTAGTATTATTACATATTTCATATGTATTATGTTTATATTTATTGATTAAAAGGACAATTTAATGACATATATGCTCAGGTTAACCTGTTTTATTCAAACAGGAAGAAGAAATGAGCTGTGGGCTTTCATGTTTCTACATTTTTAGTCTGTTTCTGTATGACGGTCACGATCAATTTGAGTTTATTTTCATATCATTTTTTAAATTATTATTATTCTTTATGTTTGGATGTTCCAAAGACCCACATTGTGTAACAACTATAAAAGCAATTTTTAAATCAACCTAATTTCCCCTTCAAATTACTTTAATATGTTGACTTAACACCTACACTCTTAAAAAATAAAGAGCAATTTCACAGCAATGCCATAGAATAACCATTTTGGATTTCCAAATTGACTCTTTCAGTGAACAGTTCTTAAAATAACCTTTTTTTGTGTGTGTGTGAAGAGCATTTTAATAATCTAAAGAACATTTTGTGGAATAAAAAGGTTCCATGGATATTAAAGGTTAAAGGCAAAAGAAATTTGAAAACAAACAAAACTTAAATCAAAATAAGCAACTGCCAACTTCATGGAGCACAGCATCTGCTGTGACTCCTCTCATATGCCAGCAAACAGAAAGGCCTCTTCCTGTCTGCGCCCCTCTAATGTACATTATATTTGGAGCTGGTCACAGAGTTTGGTGAGGCACTCAGCAGCTATCTGCGTGGGCAGAATCAGTCATACCTCAGTGCAACGGCTGCCCTATTGCTGCCATGTGTGTCGCTCTCCCCTAGTACGCTGGCATGCGGCTCCCGCTAACTTCTGTGGTGTTGCTACATATAGAAGCCCAAGCTGGTAACACACTCATCACATCGAGCCCACTATCCTTCGGCAGAGCCAAATGTTTCCACAGCTGCCCCTTTGTCTCTGCTCCTTGAGTAAACAAAGGACAGATACAAATTAATGACCTAAATTCATAGTAAAAAAGCAGAGAGAAAATCATTATGCAACCGCAAAGCATCAAGCAACTGTCCGTTCCAACCAGATGTTAGATGCAGATTTGTATGTGAATGTCACAAATCAAATTTCAGCTCTCTGAGAAATTCAGCCAAAGAGTGCACAATATTGTCTAGAAATACAAAATAAGGCACTATTCAGACTTCCTCAATAATAAAAGCGGAAATGGATCTTAAGTCCAAAACGAGTTCGAAAACTAAATCTCGCACCAATTAGGAGGTGCTGTGTGTGTGTGTGTGTGTGTGTGTGTTAAACAGCCTCATAATTTACTTCCCTTGAGAAAATGAAACATACTATGATTGTCAAAGCTAAATGTCTAAATCCATAAAAAGAACAATGTCAACATAGCAAAAAATCTCAGGAGGGAAGCAATTACATGTAAAATCAAATGATCTTCTTCTTTTTTCCACCCAGACAGCGATTGTCCTTGAATTCAACAGATATTTATTTTCTTCCCCATACTCATTAGCCAAGTTTGAATTTGACAGAGTTGTTCTTCACACTGGGGTTCCTGGGTTTCAAGTAAACTAAAGGGGTGTCTAATTTATGGATATGCTTCATAGGCCATTTCACAGCTTCATTTCCATTGAACAAAAAAAAAAAGTCAAAGAAAGTCATCCAGTATTCCAGCGACAGTTTCCAGTTTTCACCCTCTGAGTATAAGCTGATAACAGTAGTTTAAGGCGGTCAAGTACAATATATATATATATATATATACATACATATATATATATATATATATACATACATATATATATATATATATATATATAAATACACACACATACTCAAACAAGAGGCAAGTGTGTACAGGTAAATATATATATATATATATATACCATAGTACCCGTTTAGTGTGTCCTTAGTTTTAAACTCCTCTGTCTACAGCATTACCTGAAATCTTCATATGCTTTTCATGGCAGATGTTCCTTGAAATTCAGGAGCGTATACAAAAACTGTAAATTATATACAGTTGAAAATCCCAATGAATCATTTTTCTGTCAAAGTTGGTTACTGAGACAAGCACCCATATTTTTAAAAACCCCGAGGAGAACAGGGGAAAAAAAAAAAGAGACCCTAAAGAGACCAGAAAATATATTAAAAGAAAATCAGTAGTAACATTTTCATGTGCTAGTAAAGTGCAATTCAACCATATTTGAAGCACCCATATTTTTAAAAACCCCGAGGAGAACAGGGGAAAAAAAAAAAGAGACCCTAAAGAGACCAGAAAATATATTAAAAGAAAATCAGTAGTAACATTTTCATGTGCTAGTAAAGTGCAATTCAACCAGATTTGCAATGTACATACAAGAAAAATGACTGATTCAGACCCTTCGGCCGTCACTCCGCCCCACTCTTACCTTCACCTCTCTTGCCCCAAAAAATGCCACTCAGATCTCTCTCATTAAATTAACAAGCAGTTCAAACAGTCTGCTATCAGTTTAGCTTTCATTTCCACAGTTCTTGTGAACTATCTTCCAGTGCCCAGTCTCTGACCATGGGAAGATTGAGCGCCTCGCTCTTGACCGAGATCGAGTTGACCAGTTCGCAGTGGAACTTGCGGATGTGTCGGTACAAGTCCCCTGACTGTGTGAAGCGCCGCTCGCACCACTTACAGGCGTGTGGCTTCTCACGTGTGTGCACGACGGCATGCCGGCTCAGGTTGTGCGAGTACTGGAAGCTCTTGCCGCAAGTAGTGCATGTGTAGGGCTTCTCGCCCGAGTGTGTCCGCTCGTGGCGCTTTAACGTGTACATGCAGGAGAAGGTTTTGCCGCAGATGGAGCAGGTGGGGACATTAACATCGCCGGCCGGCTTGGACCGTACGCCTTCCTGTTCGCGGAAATGCGTGCTGAGGTGGATCTGCAGGATGTGTGGGCTGGGGAAGACCTTGTTGCATAAGGGGCACAAGAAGATCTGAGTATGTGGAGCCCCCAGCATGCTGGAGACGTAAGGCAACAGGGAGTTCTCAACTCCCGTGGCCTCATGTGCTCGCTCGCTGTCCCCTGTGTCGTCATCGCCTCCTTTGTTGTCCTGCTCCAGCTCAGTGGACAGTGAGGCCTCACGCAGGGCCGAGAGGTGAGCCTCCAGGCCCAACCTACGTTGTGCAACGAGGCTGATGTGAGTCCCGTTGGTGCTGGGTGGCTCCTTGACACCGCTGTGCTCCATCTCGTAGTCGCCGCTCACCAGTTCGTCATCGTCCGAGCCTGTGTCCTTTTCCACCTTGACTTGAACCAAGGCACTCTGGAGGCTGTCTGGGGTCACAGAGCTGCAGAAATAAGGGTTGCCAGCAATAGTCTCCCCAGGACCTCCACCCAGACCAGATTTCACAGAGAGGTCAAGCACACAATCGGTGTCAGCAGAGACTCTCTGAGACACCGCTGAGCGATGGGACAGAGAGCCGGTGGAACTGCTGGGGCTGCCAGCAGGAGATTTGCCAGCGTTGGGACCGTGTGTTTCCGCCTCCCTGGGGCTAGTGGTGGGAGACGCGGTCCGGTCGGAAGGCAGACGCATCCACATGCTCCCTGGCTCCTGAGGGCTGTCCCGTTTGTTCTCCATGTCCTCGTCGTCGCTCTGCAGCAGGTCGGCCGTGGCCGGCCGGCCCGTGCTTCCACCTTCCGAGAAGCTCTCCACCTTGTCCGAGCAGCTGGAAGCATCCTCCTCCCGCTTGGTGCTGTCGGCCTCATCTATGGCCTTCCGCTTGAGCTTCTTCTTGCACACCTTGACAATGTCGTACATGTGGAGGTAGCTGGCAGCAGCCAGCACATCCTCCAATGGAAGCGATTTGAACTGGAGCTTTCCTTCGTACATGAACTCAAGCAGGAGAGCAAAGGCCGGGGCTGTGACAATGTCGCTGTTCAGATGAACAATGTCCCTTTTGTCTAGCTGGTCCTTGTAAAAGAGGTGGAAGTACATGCTGCATGAAGCCAGCACTGCACGATGGGCTCGGAACTGGGCATCACCGACCAGAACAGTGGAGTCACAAAGGAATCCCTGATGCCTCTGCTCGCTCAGACACTGTAGCAAATGTCTGCTGTGGTCTGGAAACTCCATGCTGTCTTCATAACCTGCAAAAGACCACAGATGTTAGTGAGGCTCGCTTGAACAACAATTGTTTTGTCTGAAGCTCTGTGTGGAAATTCTCTCTTTCCCACCTGCTCAGTCCCCCCTCTCTCGCTCCATGCACACAGACATACTCTCACACTCTAATTCTCCCTCCCTCCCTCCACCCCTGTGGGAACACTGGAAAAATGTTCACCACAGTCCTGACATAAAGGGATTACAAAAAAGCACATGCAAAAAGTATAACATCACAGATTATATATTAGGCTAATTGCATTTTCCTCAAATGTGCACTTTAAAGTACACAATAGTGTGTTTAATATTACATTTTACACTAACCCTTTTAATTAAAAGTTTAAAAGCACGAGACCTGGGATATTAATTCAAAAATGTAAATGAAAAATATCCCAATTGTAAATTAAATTTAAAGCAATACAGCCGTGATCATCCCATCAGAATCATTCCGGTATTATCAGATGGCGTGATGTAAGGAGCTGAAGTCCTGATTCCACAGATGCCTGTGCGAGAGAATCTTTCCTGTTTTTCCTCGCTGTGCTCCTGGAGCAGTTATTTATAATAACCCACTTTGGCCAGGATGCCGAGTATAGGTAACAGGCTTACAGGTACACAAACAGCTCACCATCATGGGCACACTGCATAAGTATACTAAGTACCATGATTTCTAAGGTTATGAAAACGGAGGTAGCAGAACATCAGCGTGACGTGCGTAATCAAAGATAGACAGTCTGCAAATAAACTATGCACTAAAAAATATATTATATGAAAAATATTACACAAACATTTTACAAACTAAAACAAGTTCAAAGTAAAATAAAACGCAAAAAATATAAAATCACACCTGTTGCCCGTGGAGATCGTTCCCGTCTTAAAAAATGCACCAGCGTCATGTTCAACCAGCGGACTTAAATGAACTCATTTGAATCTTCATTTAAATCTGATTGGGATAGCAAGCCAAAGCCCCCCACCCCACCCCAAACAGCGTTCAGACCTTCATTAATGAGGGGCTTATAGGGGGACAGGGGGATAACAAACCTCTCGCCAGCCCTCTCCTCCCCCTTTTCCCCTCCCCAAATCTTTGGAGAAATGGAACATCCTCCCCAAACAGGCGGTCCACAGTAGATTTACAATACAATCACTTTAAGTGCCTCGTAGTCCACATCAATCCTAATCCTTAAAATGGCTAAAAATAAAGATTGCAGGACAGCTCACAAGGTAGCAGCGATCAAATTAGGAGACTGGGAGGACAGAGAGGGACGGAGAAGGAGGCTTATGAACATCTGATCCAGCTGACTGAGACCATATGGCAGCTGCTGCCCAGATAAAGAGATTAAGACTAGGAGGAGTGCGATTACAGCTGTCTAGCCAATTCAGGCAGCTCAAATCTGCAAGTTCTAAATTAGTCCTTACAAACAAGAAAAAAAGGAAAGAGTTGAGCAAAAGCCTGATGAAGGGATGTTTTGAAGAATGCATGTTTATATAAAGTTGCAGATTTATTTGGCCAAAAGCATTTCTACATTTTCGGTCTCTTTAGAAGATTAGGAATTTGGTTTAAATGGACTGAAAATCTTGTTACTTAAAAGAAAAACAGATTTTAACAGATTAACAGCACATAAACACAAGAGTTTCTAGTTTTAAATCTACAATACTATAACAAACTACCCTACCAACGCCACTCTATACTGTCACAACAGAGCAACAATTCTGCCATTGAGAATAACTGAAAAGAAGACCTGCAAACAAACAGAATAATGAAACGCTTGCCTGGAAACCTCTTCATGGCAACAAAAAGTGTCACTTGTCCCCCAGCCTGGTTACACTACACCAGCTCGAAATCCTTTACTTCCCATTTCACACACTCTGATGGCTGATGGCAGACACGCAAAAAGACTTAATGAGAGCTCCCTATTCAAAACACATCCCTGTTGCCCAGACCCCCCAGTACAGTACCTGCAGTACGCATCAACTTGATTAAGTCCACTGTTGTGGTAGCGCCGGCTGTAACTCCCTTCGCCGAATCAATGAAAGGGTAGAGACGTGAGAGAAAGAGAGAGAAAATCAAACTGTGAGGGACAGATGCAAAGTGGAGGAGATGTTGAAGGGGAATGCGATGCCTCCTCCTGCACACAGATCCGCACACACACTAACTCCCAGTCTGTGCGTTAGAAGAAAAGACTGGGGGATGGCAGTCTGTCAGCTGCTCTGACATCATGTTCAGATGGAAATGCTACCTCCAGCTGTGCTCCTTTTAGTGCCATATGCTACTCCTCTACACTCTTGCCACCAGCTTCTCCTTTATACAACTTTGTTTCTCTTTCCCCTCCTTTAAAAAACAGGAGGAAGGGAAGTGTTGTGAGGTGATTCTGTAGAAAACTAGCCAATTCTCCCCTTTAGTTGTAATCTCTCAGCAAAGAAGTACTTGGAAATGGGTCCGTCTGAAAGCCGACACTTTTTTCTAACCTAGTTTCTTCCTGCACTGAGAATTTAAATACCCTTAGTTTTTTTTCCCCTCTCTCCTTCTAGTAACCATAAACAAAGGCCAGCACAGCACATTTGCAACTGACAGATCCACGCAGCTGATATTGTTTTCGACTTCTTTATGGTTCACTGGCCGCGCCATTACCGTCATTCATTTCACTAACCCTTTGGACAACTGACAGAGGAGGGCGGGGGGGGGGGAGAAATAAGAAACAATGGGAACAATCATACAGGTTCAAACAAAAGGCACTGTGTTCCGCATTAGGACTTACAAACTTCCTTACTTCTTAAGTATCCCACTTATATTTGTGTTCATACTCAGAAACTTCTTCAGTGAGAGCCAAACAACAGTTTCCTGTTTACCACTAAAATCAGCAAAACAAAGATACACTAATATAATCTGAAGGTCTCTTCTGAAGGATGTCACACTCATGAATAGGAACAGAATATTTAGTTTTTTTTTACTTATTGACATGCATGAATATTTTTAAATGCTTAAAAAGCTACAAGAACGAAGAGTCTACTGCATCTGTCACGTACACTTGGTCTCGGTTTTTTTTTTTTAACTAATAAGAGCTTTTCATTCAATATGTACTCGAACGATTAGGCTTGCTTATTAATAATACTAGGTATTTTGGTTTACAAAGCAATTAGTAAACATGAAGGTAAACGAAAAAACTAAGCCCACACTACCGTGACACGTCAAAGTGAACTTGTTTTCAAACCTGGGAAGTTGTCCTGAAAGACTTATCTGAATGGTGCCAAGTTAGCCCCTTCTTGAAGTTAAAAGCTGCGATGCAAAATAATTAGACATAAAATAAAACAAACTATGAGTCCGCCTAGGTAGGAACTGGTATTATAGCAGGCTACTCCTACACAAACACACACAGCACCGCCGACGGTCTTTCTCTGGATCCTGACCCCGTACGTTCAGGAAAAGCTAGCTTGCTGGCTAACAAATAAAAAGTAAGCATTCAACCTGCAGTTACAGTTTTGCGGCAGGCCGCGATGCCACGCGCTCGAGCAACTCATTCTGCGCGTGAAGACCAACAGACGCGTGAAAAAGATCGTTACTTTTCCCCATAACAATCCAGCCCGTGCCTCCAACCCCCCTTTCATCTCCTTAAACAGCACCTCGTATCACAGGCACTTACAGACAACCAGGTCCAACGTCTTCCTGCTTCCTCCGTCTAATCCTCTCAGCGAGAAAAACAACTCGATTGACTTTCAACAGCTTTCCATAACAACCTGCAGTGGCAGGAAAGACGGAGCAGGCGAGCGGAGCGACGAGAGCTGCGGCAGCCAGATGTTTCCGAGCTGTTGCTACTCAACTCTCCTGTAAAGAGGAAGCGCTTGACTGGCAGCGCGCAAGCCAATGGAAGAGGCGAAAAGAAAAGCGAAGGCAAATTGGAAGCTGCCGCTGAGGGGGGAAGAGGGAGGGATGTGTCTCTCTCGGCGTAGGTTGACACCATAGGCAACAGTGAGAAAGCAGAAAAAAGGCCGAGCGAGCGGACGGGTTCCTCGAGCAGACTGGCGCAGCGCGCGGATAGGGACATTGCGCAATGTTAGGTGGGTACTGTAGTCACGGGCCGAGCAGCGGTGAAGAACAGGTGCACTGCAACTTCCTCCAGCGCTGCGGAGAGACGCTGACGGAGAGAGATATAGGCACAGAGCCACTTAAAAATATTTTAAATGAGGAACAGAGGCACGAGTGTCTGATGTAGCTCTAAAATTATTACTACAAAATAAATAAATGAAAAGAAACAGCCGAAAGTGAAACATTACATTTCAGAAGGGCTTATAATTTCCTAATATTTGGCGCAGCTACAAAATAGGGCTATAAGCGGACGAAAAAAATACTTGGGCTATTGGTTATATTGTTATTATTCTTGACTATTATTATTATTATTATTATTATTAGGCTTATTGTTATTATTTGAAATGTTACCAAGGTGTTTCGTTTAGTGGCAGCTTTAATTGCGAGATTAACACATTCATTCACATTTCATACGCGGGCAAACGGCATTACTGCAGTATTGAAGTTAAGTTAAAAGAGCACATTGGCCTTTTATTTTTATTTAATTTGGGTTAAATTATAATACAGTGTGCCGCAGTGAATATTGTTACAGAAATGTTGTGCTGTTGCTATCACCGCTATCTTTCTTTGGAAAAATAAGTAGGCCTATATAAATAATTTCCATAAATGAAATGTATGTAGATCAAGAAATATAATTAGAAAAAGAAATACATGCAAATGAATGAATGGATGAATGAATGGGTCATTTGATGAGGAATGAAGCTAAATGAAAACACTGGCAGCAGGATTGTATGAAATGTAAAGAAAATAATCTGTCATAATAAGCAATGTCCTGAAGGCTAGATCCCTGCGCTTGCGTGCCATATATAGCTACAGTTTGTGTGTGAGATCGCGGCGTCAACAGGTGAACGTTTGCAATGCTAAGTAGGTATGTGCAGTGGTCCACAGATACGCTAAGTTCACTCAGGACCTTGTGAACACAGTCACGTGTTTGGCGTATTTGGCTGCTAAACGCACCGCCCATCAGCATCCACGCTCCCACATTCATGCGTCCCAGTAAACTAATTGGCGTTACTAATATATTTCAAAACAAACCACTGTCCTACTGGTACCGGAATATTGACATAATAACATTTTAATTTAATGCAAATAATGGACTCATTATTGCTGATGTGGCAAACGAGTCCAGGCATGTGATGTGTTGGTGTTTTCCATCTCGTCACCCAACAATCTATTCTTTGTTTTGTACAAGAGTTATGCCACGACTATCATCACACACACAACAGGTCACATCAATTATAATGAAATATAAATCAAATGAAATGTTATGTTTCCTCGTTTTCATTACAGCTTTTCATTAAGGTTATGTATTAATAAAACACATTTAATTTGAATGCACAGAGTTTTTAAGTATTTAGTCAATATATTAATATTTCAGTTTTGAACAAAAGATACATTTGACCAAACAATCACCTTTATTAGGCAAGTAATACACTATCCCAAAACTGTTTTCATGCAAAAAAAAAAAAAAAAAAAAGAAGTGCGTTTCACATAGTTGCCACTATTAGCATAACTGCTGTTAGTTCTCTGCTATGATAATCAACAGGCCTTTTTGATCCCAAATGTTTTTTGGAGATGACAGTCCCTTGAATACGGCTGTGCCATCAGCAAAGCATGGCTGATGTTTGAAATGATATTTACTGGAGTTCTCTCCATCTGTTCAGACTGAAGTCAAAGATGTGAGGCCTCGCTTCTGTGCAACTGAGAGCAATTTTCTGAAGAGAGATAGAGGACTAGTAAAAGTCATTTTAATTTATTGTTACAGTAATATAAATAATTGTGACTTGGTTTTATTAACTGATAACTGTTAAGTGTATATTTTACAGTAGTTTTAATATATTCAAATGAATATAATGAATTATATTTGGCATATAATTACACCTTACAGCTGCCTCCAGAAAGATGGAGGATATGCCGTTCAGCAGTATGAAAGCACAAAAGCAGAATTTGGTCTTTTATGTGTTTTTGTATTGTTATGCTTGAAAATTCATTGTATGCGTATGAAAATGTGTATACACAAAGCAAGACCATGTTCTGTATTTGTGTGTATATATACACAGGCTATAATGCTATGAGAGCCACTGAATACACACTGACATCAGGTACTTCTGCATTCCCACCTCTTGAGGTCACTGTGGAATCCATGTTTGTGAATGCTACTGGATTCACTCAACTTTCACCATAAACACAAATATAGCTGAAGCCTGTTATGCATTCTTACATGCACAAGATTACACATACTCACACTTTAAGAGTATATAATATGTGTTATTTATAGCAAAAATAGGGAAAATTGGGAATATTAAAATATTTGCGGTGGAAAACTATTGTGCAAATTGCTCATCCAAATTATGAGGGATTTCATCTGGAGATAAGCTATTAGACAGACATAAACACATGTTTATACAAGAACTCATTTTGAATGCTCTACAGTTAACAATGCTGGTGTTGTGTCCATATCTTAAATACATTTATTCTCTCTTTGAAGCCATACACTCTTAAAAAAAAAGGGTTCTTTGGGGTTCTATATAGTTGAACCCTTAAAAAGGGTTCTATATGGAACCTTTTAGGGGTTCCATATATGAAGCGCCTGATAGAACCTTTTAAGGTTCTATATAGAACCTTTTCTTCTAAGAGTGTAGAGAGCAAAGGGATGTGTCCCTTCTCTGGTCTGGCATCTGGCACTTACATCTGGACTGGACACTTTCTTAGTTTCAATTTCAAGAAGTACTTGAGACCTTAAGGTAGTGGGTAGTAATTTTTGACAGGAATGAAAACGAGGCTGTGAGGTATAGATGTACAGTGCGTTTAATGTATTGTCTAACAACATTCCAGTTGTTCAGCTGATGAAACGTCTTTCCGGGAAAGAAAAAAAAAAGTAGACAAAAACTTCATGAAACAGTTTTGGAAGATGTGAAAATTATGTGATCTAGGACCTTTATATACAGTGTGTGCCGTTGTAAAAACTGTAAGTCTATCCCTCACAGCCTCGTGTTAAATTCATATTGGCATGATTGTTTTACATATACTATAACAATGCAAAGGATCAATGCATGCACAGCAATGCTATATATATATCTTTTGACATATAAGAGGTCATTGTACTATAAAAACATCCTGTAAGTTTCAGAACTCAAAATTTACTGGTTAGTCTAAAAACTGCTTATATTGAAGCCAATCTGTCAAAATGACAGGTTGTGGAATGTGCCCCCTTTATGACATAATAGTGTGGTTAAACCCTGCCTCTGCTGAAGAAGATCAACGCCTGCTTCTACATCACTGCCTGTTTAGCCACGCCCACCGATTCGCGTACGTAGTGTAAATAACGAGAGAGGCAAATTCAGGTCTACACATGAATCAAACGATAAAGACGACTCAGAAGACA